TGGGGGAGGAGCAGGCTTGAGGCAGAGAAGGATTCCACTTTGAGATGCCTGTGAAATCACAGTCTTCCATTAGAAGCAATAAGCCCAGTCTGAAACTGTTTATTCAACTCTTTTGTCTCGAGCACTTACTACGTGCCAAGTGATATACTAGGAGCTGGAAATTTAATAGAAGAAAATATGCAACTCTGTCTCCAGGGAGCTTACAGTCCAGGCAGGTCCAGAGCAAGTCTTAGAAGAAGTTTTGAGGCTCTGTGGAAAAACAATCAAATTATTCTTCTTTGTACATTTCCAGGCAAATTGTACCAAATATGGTAGATTGCCTCCAGCCTGTGTCCTTTCCCTCAGTCCCTGAAGCTGTATCTGCTGCCCTGGGCACAAACCCTGGCCCTGGGTCCCATTGCCTGGAGGTGGCACTTCTGAGTGGCCCCCACAGATCTATTGCCAGGTGAGGGCCACTTGGAGCCAGGTACAGGGTAGACGCTGTGCAACACTCTCATAATCCTCACAATGTCCCCCCCCACTTTGCAAATGAAGAAACTGGACAGATGAGGTTGTTGCTGTGACTTGAGCCAGGATTCACCAAAGATGTGTTTGACCCCAGAGCCTGATGGTATAAAGTCAGTGGGTGGCAAAGAACTGGTATTACCTTTAGGCTTGAGCTAGAAGAGTCCTGCCCTGGGCCCTATGTTTTAAAGGACCCCACTCTGGTCTTCTTCTAGCCATACCCCTCCCCCAAAGTCAAGAAGCCCACAGGGTAAAAGGGACACGCTCACCCAGAACCCTGCCCCCTGCTCTAGACTATATTCTGGGTGCCCAGAACCTCTTGGCTCTCTGCCTGGGAAGATCTGGATGGGTTGTGGAGTCACCCCAAGAAGGATGGCACTGGTGTGCACTCCTCTAGGCCCAAGGGTGGCTAAGGAGTAGCTGTTTGGGGGGGGGGAGGTGCTGAGCAGAGCTTGATGTGGACAGGACATCCACATATATATCACAAGGCCTCTTGTGACATTGGGTGAACCCAGGATATGGAAGGGAAAGGGGCAGATTGTGGACAGGGGACCAGGTATCACCTCTCTGGAGGCCGTGATGGCCTCATACCCTTGTCCAAGGCTCTGTTTTTGTTTTTTCTTTCCTTTTGAGTGGTGGGGAGACAATTCACCACAGCTAAGAGCATGTTTAACTTCTAGATATTTAGACACATGGTAAGTAGGATATTTGTACTCTTGGTCCAGGGGTCTCAAAGTTAGGGGTGACCTTATTTCCCTTTTAATTCTGTGTTCTTTATCCAGAGAATGACACTGGGGTTGGGCAGGAGAAAATGTGTATCATTAAAGGGAGATGTAAGTTCAAGATAACTCAGAAGATCTTTTTTCCCAATTATCTCATAAATATAAATGGTTGTCTTCTAGAAAAATATGTCAAAAAATCAGGATCCAAATAAAGTCTACATACTTTGGTGGGTTGACATATCTCCTTGGTATTCTTAATTCTAAAATGTTCTATACATTTCCCTTTTTTTCTCTTTATGCAGAAATTTAATTGTTTTACAGAATTCCCTACAGTTATGAATATGGGCTAATTCCAACTCTAAAATTTTTCCTACATACTGCAAGTTGTACCCAGAAGCTTGGTCAAATTTGGGTTCCATTTCATAGGGGGTGCTGTGTTTTTCCATCATTACATCTGACTGTGTTTTTTGGGATGGTGTTAGAAGGCGTTGATACTCGTTACCTGGATCCATTGAGTCATCAGAGGGTGCAAGTTGGTGGTGTCCCATCATTCCTTCCTCAAGGAGCTGAGGCATTTTTAAAAGAGAAAATCTTACTCCTTGATTATGTGCCTGGCTATTGGTACAGTTCAGGCGTCCTCAAACTACAGCCCGCAGGCCACATGTGGCCCTCTGAGGACCTTTATCCGGCCTGCCAGGTGTTTTAACTGCCACTGCCTGTTCTGCTTAGCAGCAGAATCATCCTGGGGCTGCAGTCCTGCCCTCCAACAGTCCGAGGGACAGTGAACTGGCCCCCTGTTTAAAAAGTTTGAGGACCCCTGGTACAGTTCATATAGAAAAGGCAGAATGAATGCTTATTTCTTTCCCTTTATTTACCTTTTCTTTTTAAAATTTTTTGAGACCAAGTCTCTCTCTGTTACCCCAGGCTAGAGTACCGTGGTGGTGTCAGCCTAGCTCACAGCAACCTCAGCTCTTAGGTTCAAGCAATCCTCCTATTTCAGCCTCCCGAGCAGCTGGGACTATAGGTACCTGCCACAATACCTGGCCAATTTTTCTATTTTTAGTAGGGATGGGTTCTCACTCTTGCTCAGGCTGGTCTTGAACTCCTTGGCTTACGGGATCCGCCCAGCCTTGGCCTCCCAGAGACTAGGATTACAGGCATAAGCCACTGCTCCTGATTTATGGCCCTGATTTATGACATCTTAAGAGCTTGTTCCAAATTGCCTTACATGTTTTCACACCTCCTGCTTCTGATAAACAATAGGAGAACTCACAAATGTGATCATGAAATCACAGTCAGTTACCCTGAGGCTCTGTTGAAATGAGAACTGTCATCTAGTGAGGGCCTCTGAGAGTGAGCCACTTCTCTGTGTGTTACTGGTTAATCTCCAGGAACCCCAAGGGGGAATCGTGAAGCTGATTTTGCAGATGAGAAAGTGGGGCCTCGGGTTTGTCTGTCTCTGAAGTCCACTTTGTGGTTTGTTTTGTTTTGTTTATCACAGCACTGCAGGGAATTAGAAATGCACAGATACATTTTCAGTTTTCAAAACAGCAAGAAGATGCATTGTGCCAGAGATGAAGGTGACCTTGAAGAGGATCTCAGGCGTGAGTCTAGGAGTGGTTTGTGAGCACCTCCCAAATGAATGTGTGTTTTCTAGCACGTGGCTGGGGGACTAAGAACATGCTGTTTCAGGCAATTTCCATTCTCTTTACAACATGACTAAATCTGACATGTCTACCACACCCCCTTATTGACTCTTGGCCAGTGATGTCACAGCTACTGTACCTGGCTCTGACGATTATGAAAATGCAGAAGACAGGTCTCTGCCATCGAGAGCACAAAATTGCACAGGGGAAACAGGTGTATGAAACAGTGGGGGAGGGTAGTACAAGAGGGGTTGAAACAAAGGTAGTGCATGATGGTGTGCAATGTGGCTAGGGGAGGGAACCCCTGATTCTGCCTCAGGGACCATGGAGGAGGCTTCTCAATGGTAAGCAATCACAATCTTTACTTAATACTTTTCAACATTTACCACGTGTTACCACAGCACAACACGTCCCATTGTGCTGTGCCCCTTTGAGGATTCGATTGTGACTTTTGTACTCAGGCTCATCTTG